TCCCACGGCTCGGGGATATCGAGGTAACCGCGTCCGGAAGCTGGCGCAGGTGCAGAAAGAAGGCCAGGTACGTAGGAGTGAGGGGGAGGGGGGATGAACCCTACCCTCTTCCTGAACGAGCAATGGCACCCAAAGGCAGGGCAAGACGTTGAGGAAGGCGTCCTGGTCTCTTCTGAGCCAATGCAACACATCTCACTTGCTGAGACAAAGACGCACAACCAGACAGCATTTACAAAAGTGTGGAGAGGGTGCTTGAGTTCCGACCTTACGCGGGGGGGGGGGGGGGCACAATACAGACTCTTGCCCATTCGGCGTCTAGAAACCTGGCAGTCATGAGATTTACGCAGTCACCGCCACTTCTCAACGACCCTACTTACCCGCCTCGGGATTCCTTCAACTGGCCATCCCGTTCAACTTTTGAGGCTATCACGCATATTCGCTAAGGCAAGGGAACATCGCGCATTGCTTCTTTGCACAGAAGGGGCTGCGGCGCCACAGGTAAAGCGCATTCATGTCTGGAACCATACGTTATTCGTGCGAAGCCTGCTGAAGCTATCCTACGTGCGTCGGCGCTTACCCCAGGCTCTCAACATTCCTTCATAGACGGACCCCTTTCTCGTCCATCCTCGACTTGAGAAATGCTTTGCGCATGTTCTCATTTCTTTTTCTCATCTTTGCCTGCCCTCGACATGCAGAAGGGGTCTTGAACGTGGCCTCTCGCAACTTCAGCACCACCCCACGTGCTAGCCGGCAGACACTGCTTGCTCATCACAGCGTGGTAAGAAGGACAAAAGGACGTTTCACAGTTTGGAGGAAACGGCACAAAGCCGCAGGCTGCAATTCATGACCTTTTGATGCAAACGATTTCCGAGGATCTAACCTCCAAACTCCCACGATGTTTCCCCCGTTGTCTGTGACGTTAACAGACGCGCGACTGTTCCGGCCATCCACTTTTTAGAGTACATGTCGGTGCCTTTTTGTTTCTGCCAATGCGTCTCGAGAGTAAAAGCCGATAGGAAAGAATCCTCTTACGAGGGGGGAGCGGCGCCACGGCCACGGCCAAAGCCACCACGGCTATAACATGTGTTAGCAAAAAGACGTTCCAACCCTTGCTGTGCGCAGTATCGACATATGCGCAAAGCATTCGAGGGGTTGAGGCTCACAATTGGGGCTCGAATCCACCAGGGGCACCACCCTCCTTGCCGCCCTCGCCAGCATCACGGCGGCGGTAGCCACCCTCACGGTCACCACGGTCACCTCCACGGCCACGGCCGCCGAAGGGTCTTCTCTCGCGCTCGCCCTCGCCGAGCATGCCGCGGGGGGGAGCGTGGGAGCGCTGCTGCTTGATGTGGGTGGCGGGGACAATCTCGGCGGGAAGGTGAAGCCACTCGCGGAGGTAGTCGAGACCCTCGGGGGTCAGGGTGTAGTAGTAGTACTGCCACGAGAACTGGGTCTTGACATAGCCGCGGGAGGTGAGCGACTGGCAGGCCTTGACGACGAACAGGTTCTTGGTGTCGATGTCGGGGTGCTTGGGGAGGTTGAAGTCCTTCTTCGCGACGAGGACACCCTCACGGAAGAGGTACTGTAATTTTCGTCGTCAGCAATCGCTATCCTCCCAATTTTTCAGCACGCCTGAAAATTGTAAATCTAACCTCGTGGATCTTCTTGCGGTCGGCCTTGGGGATCAACATCGTGGCGGTTGTCGTGGTCGCTGCTGGTCGATGAGTGGGATGTCTGATCGAGCGCTGTCGAGAACTAACAAAAAGTTTCGAAATTCGTCGTGGGAAGGTAGAATAGCCTAGTGGGCGTCAACCCTACGCGGAACGGACGAAGTGTGGGGCGCTCTAATGGCGCACAGAGTGATCACGTGTAGATAACGCCTAGCGATAAATCAATGTATCCTCAAGACCCGCCACACTTCCTCAGGGTGCTGCGCCTCACCCAGTAGCTAGGTATCTGCGATAAGCCGCGCCCATCTCATAATTCATCGTTGTAACCAAACACTGAACATTTGCCTGCACTTCGCGTCCTTGTCCCGCCTCGACATCGTCACTTGCACATCGACTTAATATTGCGTCGGCGCAAATCAAGAAATCAAATTCTTCGGCTACGGACGTAAAGCATTTCCGACTTCAAAATGGCTGTCAAAAACGTCAACGTATTCATCAGCACCTTTGCTGGGTTGGGCCTACCATCGACACTGGTACTGCCTGTTTCTTCGATGACGACCCTATGCGACTTGCGACAACAGCTTGACGAGCGACTGCCCGCCACAGATAACCGCCTTATCCTGACGACCGTCTCCAACAAAGAGCTGTCAGCTTCGTCTACCAAACCAGTGTCTGATCTTCTATCATCCATCGATGATGACTTTGTTTCTTTGCGACTTTCAGTACCGCTTTGCGGTGGCAAGGGTGGTTTTGGGTCCCAGCTTCGAGCCGCTGGTGGTCGCATGTCCTCAAAGAAGAAGCGAAATCAGGGAGATGCCAACAACTCAAGCCGAAACCTTGACGGTAGACGTTTGCGGACCGTCACCGAGGCCAAGGCTCTGGCGGAGTACCTCGCCATCAAGCCAGAGATGGAGAAGAAGGAGAAAGAGAAGCGTCGCGAAAGATGGGAGCAGATCGTTGAGCTTGCAGAGAAACGCGAGGACGAGATCAAGAACGGCAGCAAGGGTCGCCTCGACGGAAAGTGGGTTGAGGACAAAGAAGAGTCTAACGAGAGAACCCGCGAAGCGGTACTTGCTGCCATGAAAGCCGGGAAGTATAAGGACAATCTTCTCGGTACTTCGCAAGGATCGACAGGATCAGAGGAGACGGAGGAGGAAATGAGTGAGGATGAGGGTGATGAGGAAGTTGGCAGTTCGAAAGAGTCAACACCGCCATCGGAACCGGCAAAGGCGCCCAAGGATAAGCCGAGAACGTTCTTTGGATTCGATGAGGACGATGAGTTTATGAGTTCTGATGAGGATGAAGTCAAGAGCAAGAAGAAGTGAGCTGACGAGTCGCATCGCTTCTCATCGCCCCTTCACTTCTTTGCTTCTTCTACAATCTTCATCACACTGCTTAGCTTGCGTAAGAATTATAACGGCCAAGGGGAGCGCACGGAGTTTCTGGTCAGCGGGGTTAAAGGAACGGTATCAAGGTTCAAGTTTTTGTACAAATGATCAAATGGGCGGACACTACAGATAGTTTTCACGAAATCATATTCGGCGCCCTGGAGCGTCATCAGCGTCATCGCACGACACGTCCTCCAATGCTCTATTTGAGGTCTCGATCCATCTTGAAGTAATACAGTCGCCCGGCTCCTCCGTCTAACCTGCTCACAACAGAGTCCAAATTTGCTTATGCGTCGAGCTTGACGGGGAAGTTGCCGGCCTCTGTCATGTGTTAGTATGCGTGCTTCTGATATACGGACGGAGTGCTGACCTCTCTGCTCGTCCCAGCGGGTGTACCAGCCAGAGGGGCACAGAGAGCGGTAGCCGAGCCAGAACTGCGACTTGTTAGTTTCTTTCAATTTTCAACAGAACTCGCGGACGGTCCGGACCTGGCGGCAAGGGGCGAAGTCCTCGCCCTTGGCGTTGATGCACTTGTGGTAGTCGACGTAGTTCTGCCAGCAGTGCTTGGTCTGGTTCATGTTCGGGTAGCGGGCATCGGTGCCTGTTCAAGCTCATGTTAGGTTCACGTCGCTCATCATTCCCGCTCTCAATTGAGGTGACGCTATCGCGGGTTTCGGTGGTTCGGGCGGAGGGTTCATACCGGCTATAGTGGTCATCAGTTAGCCTCGGAAAAAAGATCAGACCATACTTTGGAGAGGGATATTTCTTCAGCGTACCGGTAACGAACTTGAAGGGCTTGGTAACGAGCTCCTGATCGTCGGACATTTTGGCGGCTTGCGAGTTCAATTGACTGGGAGTCGGATCTGGTGATGGGGTCGAGTGGGCAACGGCGTGCGATCGGTGTTGATGCTTTGAGAGCAATTGAATGGTCGTTTCTGCACCGAGAATCAGGTGGTGACGGGCGAGAACGGGTGGATGCCTGAAGATGGCCAATCGGGCCTCAGGCATTAGAAAGGTGGACCGAGCTCCAGTCCAACATCAGACCAGACCGATGGAAGTCCAGTCCAACTTCTAAACACTCATTTTGAGATCCAATCCCGATCAACTACGCTCCCTCCCGCCGTACCGACAGGACCGAAAAATCTCCCCTCTTCAGAAAAAAACAAAATCGCCAAAATGCGTCCTACTCTCGGTCTCCGCGCTTTCCGCCCGACTCTGCGCATGATGTCCCCCGTTCCCGTACGTTGAAATTTCGCCGGCCCGGATGAGCGCAATCGCTAATTCTCACATCTCCCCTTAGGCCGAGGACCAAGTCGGTACGTCGAAACCCGCCCCCAGCCATTGAAGGCTCCCGCGATATCGGATACCGATCTCGACGATAAACTGTGGTATTGCGAAATGGCTAACAAGAGCTGATATTGTTGATTCCAGGCCACACCGTCTCCCAGAGACTGCGCAAGCTCCGCCAGATCCCCCCCGAACTGATCCCCCTCGGTACGTCATTAGACATTCAAGGTTACGTCAAATTGTTGTTGACGGCATACAGGTGTCGTCGTTGGCTTCGCTCTGGCCGCTGCCACCTACTCTGTCGGACGTCACTTCATGACCGACAAGACCATCCGTCTCAAGCGCCAGGGCAAGTCTGCCGCCGACGCCGGCCACGGAGAGGAGCACCACTAAGCGAAGGTTATGAGGACGACGGGAGAACGGTTGACCATGGCGCTCGTGTGTTATTAGGGAGGATCAGTTTGTATAAGTCTACGACAAAGACAGATCAAAAGGCACCAGAGACGCTGCTTTCATTTCCTTTCTCATTGTGCTTCTCCGCCTCGAGTATTAGAGAAAAGCCGTGCCTCTTTTATATCTCAGTAAATCCATGTGAACGCCGTCGCTATGTAATTCAAAACAGGCTTCAGTCGCCTTCGTCCACACCAACTCATCTTCACTCTGGTCGTGGTCCCGCGACATCGAGCCCCTCCAAACCTTGCATGGGGTCATCCCCACGCATCTCAATCTGTGCTGTGCCCTGGTCTGTTGCCAATCCATCCTCCTCTCCAACAGCATGCTCTGCCAGCCATCCCTCCTATGATGGATGTCAGTACGTTGTTTCAAAGCTCGATGAGGTAGGAATATGAATCAGAGGAGAGGCATAGTAGCAGAGTGATAGAATTTAGAGTAAAGAAAGAAGAAGATAAGAAGTAGTGAGAACCGCGAGCAAAAGATGTGAGACATATATTCAAGGAATGACTGACCTGTTCCCAGACAGCCTTCTTGCTGCCCAAGCCCTCGTCTGCGCTCTTGGGAACTTTAGCGGCTGACACCTTGATGACTCGCCCGAAGAATTCTGACTGATCCATGTTGTCGATGGCTTCTTTCGCGTCCTCCGTATCTTCATACTCAACATAAGCGAAGCCACGGTGAGGATCTGTTGAGTTTGGCTTGTCGTTCTTCGGTAGCGACACATCGGCAATTTCTCCAAAGGGGATGAATGCATCGTGAACGTTGGCGGCCGTCACTATGGAGGCCAGTCCACCAACGAAGACGGTCGATTTCCAGCGCGCAGCGTCCGTCATCTTGACCCAGATTTTATTCGTTTGGCGATGGTTGAGTTCGTGAACCTGCGTAGCAATACCTCGAGAATGAGCGCGGCTAAGTGATAATGGAGTGAATCTTTCTGATAGTAAGTGGAGTTTCTGCGCAAGAGCTGTTGTAAGTCTCTATTGGCTGAAGTGGATTTTAGCTACTTGGAGCTGTGCCGTGGTTCTTTGGGTGTCTTAGCGTTCAGTTACGTAAGCCATACCCAACGACAATTGCTCGCTTCTTCCCCTCCACTGATGTAAGGTACCTTGAGGTATACCCACCTTCAACATCGACTTTGGAAACCTGCCTCATCATCTTCTGCCGGAGATACCTACTTCTACAGGCTTGTTTCTGTACCTCTACTTTCTCATCTTGAATGAGGATGTATGGAATTGCCGAGGAAAGAAGATGCATCGTGAAGATGGCCACTTATGTAATGGATTCCATGTCCCGCCGCTGCTCTCCGCCTTCCACTCTCCCTGTTGTGATGACGATGCACGTGACGCTACTTTTCCTGCTTGGGCCAGTTGAGAGGTGCACGGTCCAGTGCTAGGGGGGTATGGATGGCTGCGATTTAGGCCTTGGAGAGCTTGGGATGGGGCTGCAATCTGGCATCATATTTCCCTAAGGGCCAGCGTGCACTGTGACACTACCGCCTCAACGACTAATAGCCACCTCTCCCATAAGGCTTGGTTTTACTTTTCTCAACTCCAGAGAATCTCGGCTTTCCTCGCCAGATCTTCTTGTCACTGTCACGTCAACCAATGCCAATTCGCAGCTAGATTTGTCTTTCTTAGACTGGCCGACTTTCCTTATAGCAACGTCTCCCCCCTCCCTCCGAGTGCAGTCCTGGGGACTGAGTGATTCTCGCAATCATGGTTCGCCTCCGCGAGATCCCAAGGACCGCGGCGTTCGCCTGGTCCCCCGACCCGTCGAAGCCTCTTTTGATCACCGGCACTAGAGCTGGAGCTGTCGATGCCGACTTTTCTGATGAGACCAAGCTGGAGCTGTGGGACCTCAACCTTGACAACCAAGACCAAGGCCTCGAGCTGCAGCCCATAGCTAGCATCAGCACCGACTCGAGGTAGGCTCTGCTGCCGCACTACCAATCAGACATCTTGGCTCACGACACTTAGATTCTATGACCTCGCTTGGGGACCGGCCGATTCCGACCACCCGAGGGGTATCATTGCAGGTGCCCTCGAAAATGGCTCTCTCGACTTGTGGGATGCCGAGAAGCTCATCGACGGAGCCGAGGATGCCTTCATGTCCCGCACAACGAAGCACACCGGTGCGATCAAGTCCCTCCAGTTCAACTCCCTCCGACCGAATATTCTTGCGACCGCCGGCGCAAAGGGAGAATTGTTCGTTTACGACATCAACGATGTGGAGAACCCATTCCGACTGGGAACCGCCGCTGCTCGCGCTGACGACCTGGAAGTTGTCGCATGGAACCGCAAGGTTGCGCACATTCTCGCCACCGGAGGCTCTGGCGGTTTCGTCACTGTTTGGGATTTGAAGACCAAGAAGGCCTCTTTGACCCTGAACAACAACAGAAAGCCCGTCAGCGCCATTGCGTGGGATCCCAACAACTCAACGAAGCTCCTGACCGCCACTCACGACGATACTGCTCCCGTCATTTTTCTGTGGGATCTCAGAAATGCTAATGCGCCCGAGAGGACGCTTCAGGGACACGAGCAGGGTATCCTTTCCCTGTCTTGGTGCCAGCAGGACAGCGATTTGCTGCTTTCTTGCGGCAAAGATAACAGGACTCTGGTGTGGAACCCTCAAACGGGAGAGAGACTGGGAGAGTTCCCTGAGGTTACAAACTGGACCTTTCTCACTCGATTCAACCCCGTCAACCCCAATCTTTCTGCCACTGCTGGTTTTGACGGCAAGATCACCGTCCAGACCCTTCAGAACACCAACCCTACGAACACGCAGGCCGCTACCAACAACAATCTCGATGGTGAAGACTTCTTTACCAGTGCTCAGACGCAGCCTCAGGGAGCGTCGTTCTCTTTGAGCCAAGCCCCCAAGTGGTTCGAGCGTCCAGTGGGAGCTACCTTTGGCTTTGGCGGAAAGCTTGTCATTTTCAAGCAAAATGCCCAGCAAAAGTCCACCAAGATCTCCATCTCCCAGTTCTCTGTTGACTCGTCCATCGGTACCTCCACGGAAAAGTTCGAGGAGTCTCTGCAGTCAGGCGATATTGTCGGTCTCTGCGAGTCTCGTAAGGAACAGGCTAAGACCGAGGAGGAGAAGGCGGACTGGCTTGTGATGGAAACTCTTACTGGCGAGAATCCGCGGAAGCGTATTGTTGAGTACCTCGGATTCAACGAGGAAGAGATCACCAACGGAGTCTCGGGCAAAGAAGAGGCGAAGCCTGAGGATGCTGCGGCTGACAAGGAGGAGGACACGAAGGAGGCAGAGAAGCCCGACAACATGTGGGGCGAGGCCGACGGAGAAGGGGAAGAAGACTTCTTGTCGAATCTCTCTGCGACCAAGGGCGCCAAGACGGACAGTCCTTTCCACCTGCTGGCCGACACGGATACCACTGTGGAGAAGTCCATCACCAAGGCTTTGATGCTTGGAAACTTTGCAAAGGCCACTGAGATCTCCCTCAAGGAAGAGCGTTGGGCAGATGCTTTCCTCATTGCCAACTGCGGTGGGCAGGAGCTGGTGGACAAGGTGCAGAGTGCCTATTTGGCCAGCAAGGACGGTGTCCCAAGCTACGTTCGCTTGCTCGGATCAGTTATTGCCAAGAACCTGTGGGATGTTGTCTACAACGCCGACCTCGAGAACTGGAAGGAGTCAATGGCCATTCTTTGCACGTTCTCTGACCCCAAAGAGTTCCCCGATCTCTGCGAGGCTCTTGGCGACCGTATCCTCGAGAACGGCTCACGCAAGGATGCTTCTTTCTGTTTCCTCGTTGGGTCAAAGCTCGAGAAGGTCGTTTCCATCTGGATCACAGAGCTTGAGGAGGCCGAGCAGGCTGGCATGCAGGAACCTAGCGATGATTCGACGTTCTCTGTGCACGCTCGATCACTTCAGCACTTCATCGAGAAGGTGACCATCTTCCGTCAAGTCACAAAGTTCCAGGACTCTGGAAAGGAGCAATCTGCCGACTGGAAGCTGTCAGCTTTGTACGAGAAGTACACTGAGTACGCCGAAATCATTGCCGCCCACGGTCAACTCGCAGTTGCCCAGAAATACCTGGACTTGCTACCCAAGGAGTACCCTGAGGCGCAGCTGGCGAGGGAGCGTTTGGCACGGGCTACGGGCAAGGCCGCCGTCTCGCAGGCTGCACCAAAGGCGCCGGCTGCTGGACGTCGTCCGGGACAGCCTCCTGCGGCGGCCAATCCCCGGGCCACCCCCGGTTATCAGTCCTACCAGCCCACTGCCCCTGCTCAGACTCCTGTCGGTGCTAGCCCGTACGCACCAACGGGGCCGGCTCTCGTGGCAGCAACCGGACCGGCAGCTGCGTCGAACCCGTATGCCCCGGCTGCCCCGGCAATCGGTGGTTACACGCCTGCCGGCCAGTCGCCCTACGCCCCGAGCCAAGGCTACCAGCCTCCCGTCGCCCAGCCGGCCTATCAGGCACCCTCGGGCTATGGACCACCTCCCTCAAACTTCGGTTCGTTGCCGCCGCCGCCGCGTAACTCCACGCCCACTACGTCCTTCCGCCCCAAGGAGAGTTGGAATGATGTACCTCTGGTTGCCAAAGCACCTCCTCCAAGAAAGACCACTCCTAGCGTCGCTCCAATCTCTTCGCCGTTCTCTCAGCAACCTAACCAACCGGGTCCCCCGCCTCAGAGCCCGTACGGACGCACTGGTTCAACGCCTCCTCCTCCGCCGCCCAAAGGCCCTGCCCCGCCTCGTGTCACGTCTCCTCTGGCCGGACCTCCCCAGACTTTCCAGGCCCCGCCTAGGCCAACATCATCGGCATCGAACGCATACGCTCCTCCGCCCCCTCAGCCTGGTGCGATGCCGCCACCTACCATGCCTCGCACTGCCTCGCCATACAACCCTCCTCCATCTGGCCCTGCCCCCTCTAACCGCTACGCGCCCGCTCCCTCGGCCCAGCCGCAAGCAAGCCAGCCCCCCTTGGGGTCCTCTATGCCACCTCCCGGAAGCCAGCCTCCCCCGAGAAACCCTTATGCGCCGCCGCCCCAGCAGAGCACACCGTCAAACCAGTACGCGGCTTCGCCGTACGGAGCCCCGCCTACAGCAGCCTCGAGGCCGCCCACTGGCCCTCCTCCTTCCAACGGGCCCCCGCCTGCTGCCAGAGCTCAACCGACCCCTCCTCCCCCCAAGGCGGCTGCCCCGCCCAAGGCCAGACACCCAGCTGGTGACAGGTCGCACATTCCAGCTCACGCCCAGCGACTGGTCGATGTCCTCAGCTCGGATATGCAGCGTGTAGCTTCTCGCGCGCCTTCATCCTTTGCTGCGCAGGTCAAGGATACTCAAAAGCGCCTCAATCTTTTGTTTGATCACTTGAACAACGAGGAGCTGGTCAAGCCTGACACAATCGATCAACTTTGTGCTTTGGGCGAGGCTATTGAGCAGAAGAATTATGAGGTTGCTCACAAGATCCAAGTCGAGATTCAGCGGGACAAGACTGATGAATGCGGTAACTGGATGGTAAGTTCGCTGCTACAACACTTTACTTACTATGTACTAATGTCTTATCCCAGGTCGGTGTGAAGCGTTTGATCAGCATGAGCAAGGCCACTCCATGAGTGCCTTCTCGAAGTTAAGGGGATGGGATGTCATGGGACATGAAATGTTGATGATAGCCAACTGCGCTTTTACGTATACACTAGAGCTTAAGTCGAATGTGGAGACTGTGATTAAGTGCCTGCAAGTCTGCCGTGGTTGATGCTGTGATGATCTGGACTTGTGACAGTGAAAGTTGGACAGCGAAATTTCGATTGAGATGGTGAGAATATCACTCGGCCATTTAATGGAGTCGGCGTCGAGATTAACAGTTCTGCAAATACTGGCGCAGTTACAATTGTTCCTGGCATGGGAATTGCAGCTGGCTGGCAAGACCTGTACCAGTGCGATTTTCGTCGAAGGTGAGAGGTTTGGGTGGCTTGACTGGAGCTCACTACCTAAAGGTAGGGGTAAGCTGGCACCTGGCCATGATAAGATAAGCAAGGGCGGGCTAAAGCCAACATCATCCACAAAACGTCACACCTCGACAACCTGTCACTCCACAGCCAACAAACCAAATCAATCACGATGACGGAGTCAACGTCAGAGGATGCTGCGGCTCAGCGCGCCGCTGAACAAATACGTCTGCGCAAGGCGAA